CCCCCCCCCCCGAGTTTTTTTCCTGTTGCTACGGCACTGCAAACGGTAGAAAAACGCTGATAAACGGTAGAAATAACGCTTATAAACGTTTGGAAAAATGCTTGTAAACGGTTAGAAACGGTAGGAAAAACGATAGAAGAAACGATTATCAATGTTTGGAAAAACTAATAAACAGTAGAAAAACGCTTATAAATAGTAGAAAAACGTTTACTTTGGAAGAAACGTTAGGAAACATGCTCATAAGCAGTAAAACGAAACGCTTATAAAGATTTATTAACGGAAGAAAAAGGACCATTTGCAGCAGGAAAAACGCTTACACAGGGGAGAAAAACTTTAGCACCTATTTATTAGTCGTCACGCAGTGAAGCCTTTTCGCAACTTTTTAAATTTTAACCTTTGAAATCCAAGTTTTAAGTATGGATGGGAGATTCACTTGATACTTCCTTCGCTCTTTCATTCGCATCCTGTTAGATGTCTTATGATCGAATTCGCTGACCAATGTATGATGTTTTCGCAGTCGAATCGAAGTTCAAGTTATACGAGGATATTACATTCAACGTGGTGGTGCAACGATTTCCTCATCGAGTGAGTAGTTTCAATCTATAGTAAGTCTGGATAGTAAGAAAGGGTTATTATCGCAACAGTTGAAGTAACAGACGTCTGAACAATAGAAATATATCATAAATGAAACCTGAAACCTGAGTGATGCAAAATTACGTTACAAGTGTAATAGTATAATAGCACATAACGTAACGCATGAAGGTCACGTTTTCAGATACGGAATCTTAAATATTGGTACAAAAAGCAGTTTAACTAATCATTATTTTAATGAAAGGGAGTTCAGGGATAATTAACTTGTACGTCCTGGTTTCACACTTGCCAAAAGCGTCTTGTTTTTATTCGACATAGAAGTGAAACGATTTCCTGACCGAGTGACGATTAATTTTCCAAGTTGAGACTTTGATTCGTGCTGTTTGGGCGTGCCTTGGCGCCAGCGGGTCACGAACCGGTAGAACGAACCTTAGTGACAAAGTTTTGCGAAAAGCAGGAAGTAATTCCGGAGAAGTACTCATTTCCTCGCAAGCCAGTCTCGCAATGTTCGTGCTAAATCTCTCCAATTCAAACTGTTCTCTTGTTTTCTCGGCAGACGACGTGGCCGCAGCTTGGTGTCTTGTGGGAATCAACATATTTACGATTATTCTGGGTTCACTAGGTAACTTGTTGGTGTGCATAGCAGTGCTTTCAACTAAAGGCATGACCTCAAGCTTCCATTACTTCATTTTAAGTCTGGCTGCTGCAGATCTTGTCATTGCTCTTGTGGTTCAGCCGATTTTAGTCGTCTTGATTATCGCTCACATAAACTTTCAATGTCTCCCGGATGCGCATTTAGTCTTTCGTGTAGTTGGTAACTTTGCTTGTGCCGTCTCGTTACTGACATTGGCCTTGATTGCGCTGGATCGTTGTTTGATCGTCTCTCCTCATTTCGACTACAAGAATACAATGACAGCAAGAAAGAAAATCGTTCTGGCCGTTATCTGGTTGTTAGCCTGTGCGTGTTCTGCCATAAGGCTAACCATCGAGAAAGAGATAACATCGTACCTAACCGCCGCTGTGTTTGGGTTGTGCTACGTGGAAATGATCGTGTGTTATGCAGTTGTTTATTATCGAATCTCCAAACGGCGTAAACGACCAGCTGCGATGCGTGCAAGAACTGAACTAAGGGGAACACGACATGAGGCGGCAGAAGTACAGCTTCTCAAGACTGAAAACATCGCTAAAGAGAGACGTTTTGCCCGCACTATCGTCATGGTACTAGTTGTTTTTACGGGTGGATGGAGTTATCTCTTTTATCTGCGATTGACGCAACCGGAAAAGAACTACGGAATCAGGTATGATGTGGCTCGTACTGTGGCGTTTTCTGCGTCTGCTATCAACCCCGCTCTTTACTGCTTCAATAATAAAGAATATCGACGTGCATTCAAGAGGATTTTGTCAAGTTTCCCTTTTGGATGGCGCCGCGAGGAATATGAAAGAATCTTGTGATCAGCCAGTTTAAGGTATAATGAAATGCCATTCCGGAAGTGAAAGTGAAACTGTGGATGGAATAGAAATCAACGCAGATAAACAGATTTTGCCAGAATGAGATTGCGTGACGTTAAACAGCGAAAGAAACTCTTTTTTTGATCAAGGGTAGTTTTAAGCCAGAGACCCTCGATCATTGGACGTTTAAGTAGATTATTTTATTAATATCTAAGCACCGTAAAATATTCTTAGCCGATAGACCCGGAGTATTTGAAGTAATTTTAAAAGACATTTCTGTAGCAGCTTTAAAAGATTGCCTCGGGATAACATTCAACTACAGTACAACATGGCCGACGCTTTCGGCAAGGCAGCAACAGGCGAAGTATTCTCGCACTCCAAAGAGGTAGAGAACGAATTTATGTAATAAGCAGCTATAAGTCAGCTTTGCCAGAAAAAAACGATGTGAGGCGATTAGAGTTTGCAAGACATGCTTGGAAAGAAAAGTCTGCCATAGTCATTTACATAACAGTGTGGAATTTGAAAAGTATAACCTTAAATACACATGTCACAGATACGGGTCAGATTTGTTGTAATAACCTGCATAATTACAGTAAAGATTTGTGTATCTAGCTGTGAGCTACTGAAGCTCGTACTGAATTATGTAATAATAAAGTTACTATTACAGCTGTTACTGTTTTAAGCAGCTGTGTACGAACAAATGTAATTTCATTGCCTTGCATGAATAAAAGTGCTGATTTTGTTGTGTGATGCCACCTCTAACTACCTCTCTGACAAAGAAGTGAACACAACTGTAATTTATCGCAAGGGTCGTGGAAAGAACTGTGTCAGACATTTTAATAACGAGCTTATACCTGACCCTGAGTCTCTGACAGGTAAAACACTTTCTTGAGAGACAGTCGGTTTTGTTATCTTGTAATTAACGTTGCAAGTCTTATACTTTTTGCAATCTGCATTGCTCTGCTGAGACAGAGGAGGAAGTATTTCGCGATACTTTTAAGTTACAAATAGCTCTTGGAGAACGCTGGAAATAGCATTTCCGAACCTAGCTCTGATTTCAAAATTTTCTCGGGAGAAGGGGGGCATGCATGCCCCCAGACCCGGTTAACGGTTCGCGCCTTCGGCGCTAGATTCTGTGTCCCCCCAGTTTTTTCCCGTTGCTACGGCACTGCAAACGGTAGAAAAACGCTGATAAATGGTAGGGATAACGCTTATAAACCTTTGGAAAAATGCTTATAAACGGTTAGAAACGGTAGGAAAAACGTTTATCAATGTTTGGAAAAACTAATAAACGGTAGAAAAACGCTTACCAACGGTAGAAGAACGCTTATCAACAGTATAAAAACGCTTTACCTAGGAAGAAATGTTAAGAAACACGCTCAAAAGCAGTAATAATGAAACGCTTATAGAGATCCATAAACGGAAGAAAAAGGCCCATTTGCAGTAGAAAAACGCCTACACACGGGAGACAAAACTCTAGCGCTATATACAAACTGCTCTCCATGGGAAATCTAGCTGCAATCAGTGACATCAGGAAATTACCCCTTGTCCAGCCATTCTCCGCATTTCACCAATCATTTTGGCTAACTACTGGCGAATAGAAAGCAAAACAAGACAAAACAGCTCGACATATTATTAGCACACTGAAAAACAACATACACCATCAGCAACCGTATTTTCTACTCTGTCCAGCAAATGTCAAGACCAGCTGCAGTGGAGTTTTGACAAGAAGACAGTGACACACGGAGCCAAACCAATACCAAGCTGTCAAGAAATTTAACGAGGTGACTCTATCATGACGATGAAGAATACAGAATCACTCGGCAATTCCTCCCATGAAACCAGGTCACTGTTTTGTTGCCCGGAATCGCCACAATACATCTGGGACTTAATCACACAACTTCTTTTAAGATTATTGTTGTCATCACAACCATTGCTTGTCCGGTTACCATTGTGTTAAACCTCTTGGGGATAATAGCAGTAAAGACGAGAAGAGAGTTAAAAAAGAATTCAAACATCCTGCTGTCTAGCGTGGCTTTAGCTGATCTTTTGGTGGGTGCTGTATCCATGCCACTGTCTATCACGTTAGACACGTTAGTTAACGAGAGAGTTTTAGATGTGGATATTATTTGTGCGATAGATTCCACAAGTGCCTCTGTAATGTACACCATCTGCAGCGCGTAAGTTTTACATTTGCTCCTAATTGCTTGGGAGAGGTAGGTGGCGATAGCGAAATGTATGGAGTACAAAGGTATTGTTACAGGACGCCGCGTAAAGAAGTACACGAGAGTTGCCAGGCTATCGGTAGTAATAATGGTTGTTCCATTCGTCATAGCGGCAGCTTTTAACCTTCCTTATGAAATTATATTAGTGGAATGTTATTTTGAGCATTTTCTGGTTTGTCTGCTTATCACTTATAGCATATATTTACGTTAAGGCTTATGTCGCAGTGCGAAAATGGAACAGAACGCGAATCCGCCCAGTAAATGTTCTGCTTAAAAGGAAGCTTGAAAGCAAGGTTGCTTACACGACTTTCTGCTTAACAGTTTTCGTTGGTGTCTCGGGTGTGCAGATCATCGCATATCTCTTTGAGGGAGCTTTTTCTTTTTTCCTCCAAATGTCTACTGTACGATGGGTAGAAACAATATTTCAGTTAAACCCTCTGTTCAACCCTGCGTTGTACTGGTATAGAAACCGCCGCTAAAGAGAAGCTTCATTGGAGCTGGTCCGGTGTAAAATAAGTGAATGTATAATTGAGGATAGGTCCGACTGCCGCTGTTACAGCCTGACCAGGCGATAACAGTCGGAAGCTGAATTTGCCTAACAACATGGCGATCATGCTGTATAACGTGCCACTGAAGGTGCTGAAAGATTCGGAGACAGTTTTCAACATGCTGTACGCCCAGTAGGTGAAGCACATCAAACTCACAAAGAAGACGAAGGCGAAACCAGAAATGTCCCCTCGAATTCTTTCTAGCGTAGAGAAAAATATTATTTAACTCTTGTTAAACTTAAAAAACTTTAAGAACTGGACTGTGGGAATGAGAACAATTAGACATGAAAAGTAAGCTATGTAGTCATCGTAGAAGGCCATCGTCAGAAAACCGTAAAAAGTATCTGGATTTTCTCGAATTGCTTCGATAGCGCTGTTAAGGTGGCTCTCATGAACAGCATATAAAGCTATGGTTGCCAGAGAGAACAGAATTAGTAAATATCAGTGAGGTTTCAGTGAGACGTAAAATAGCTCCAGCGATCTCGGTAGATAAGGCATCCCACTCTACAGATAAGGTGTCCCACGAAAATGACAAAAAATATGGCTATAGTGGGGTAAAATAACGATACAAACGGAGCAAATGCATGTCGACACGAGGAAAGCACCGCTAAAAGACGAAACTTCAATCGAAAATATCACTGCCGATAGAATGTTTACGTTAGCGTTGTTGATTGAAAACTCAAGAAAAACTACTCTTGTGAGGCCATCAATCCAGCCATGGGCTTTAAGCGAATTTGTGAGCTCCATCGTGCCTTGCCAATCAGTCTCTAGGTATGCTAGGTCCCTAGGTATGCTAAAATTCTCGTAAACTGTAGGAAGAATTTTGTGGACGTTAGAGCCGGAACCTGGGGACGAATTATTGACGAAGTTTTGCGAAAAGCAGGAAATATTACTTTACTTGCAAGCCAGTCCGAGGATGTCCGCACTAAATGACTCCTGCTTGTGCTCGGGAACCTGTTCTCTTGATTTGGCAGACTATATGGTTGCACACCGGGTTGCAGCTCTGCGTCTTGTGGGAATCAACATATGTACGAGTATTCTGGGCTCACTGGGTAACTTGTTGGTGTGCATAGCAGTGTTTTCAACTAAAGGCGTGACCTCAAGCTTCCATTACTTCATTTCAAGTTTGGCTGCTGCGGATCTTGTCATTGCTCTTGTGGTTCAGCCGCTTTTAATCGCCTTGATTATCGCTCAGATAAAAATCCAATGTCTCCCGGACGGCGCGTGTTTAGTCTTTCGCGTAGTTAGCAACTTTGCTGGTGCTGTCTCGTTACTAACATTGGCGTTGATTGGGCTTGATCGCACTTTGATCGTCTCCCCACATCTTGACTACAAGAATACAATGACAGCAAGAAAGAAAATCGTTCTGGCCGTTGTCTGGGCGTTAGCCTGTGCGTGTTCTGCCATAAGGCTAACCATCGAGAAAGAGATAACATCGTACCTAACCGCCGCTGTGTTTGGGTTGTGCTACGTGGAAATGATCGTGTGTTATGCAGTTGTTTATTATCGAATCTCCAAACGGCGTAAACGACCAGCTGCGATGCGTGCAAGAACTGAACTAAGGGGAACACGACATGAGGCGGCAGAAGTACAGCTTCTCAAGACTGAAAACATCGCTAAAGAGAGACGTTTTGCCCGCACTATCGTCATGGTACTAGTTGTTTTTACGGGTGGATGGAGTTATCTCTTTTATCTGCGATTGACGCAACCGGAAAAGAACTACGGAATCAGGTATGATGTGGCTCGTACTGTGGCGTTTTCTGCGTCTGCTATCAACCCCGCTCTTTACTGCTTCAATAATAAAGAATATCGACGTGCATTCAAGAGGATTTTGTCAAGTTTCCCTTTTGGATGGCGCCGCGAGGAATATGAAAGAATCTTGTGATCAGCCAGTTTAAGGTATAATGAAATGCCATTCCGGAAGTGAAAGTGAAACTGTGGATGGAATAGAAATCAACGCAGATAAACAGATTTTGCCAGAATGAGATTGCGTGACGTTAAACAGCGAAAGAAACTCTTTTTTTGATCAAGGGTAGTTTTAAGCCAGAGACCCTCGATCATTGGACGTTTAAGTAGATTATTTTATTAATATCTAAGCACCGTAAAATATTCTTAGCCGATAGACCCGGAGTATTTGAAGTAATTTTAAAAGACATTTCTGTAGCAGCTTTAAAAGATTGCCTCGGGATAACATTCAACTACAGTACAACATGGCCGACGCTTTCGGCAAGGCAGCAACAGGCGAAGTATTCTCGCACTCCAAAGAGGTAGAGAACGAATTTATGTAATAAGCAGCTATAAGTCAGCTTTGCCAGAAAAAAACGATGTGAGGCGATTAGAGTTTGCAAGACATGCTTGGAAAGAAAAGTCTGCCATAGTCATTTACATAACAGTGTGGAATTTGAAAAGTATAACCTTAAATACACATGTCACAGATACGGGTCAGATTTGTTGTAATAACCTGCATAATTACAGTAAAGATTTGTGTATCTAGCTGTGAGCTACTGAAGCTCGTACTGAATTATGTAATNTCACAGATACGGGTCAGATTTGTTGTAATAACCTGCATAATTACAGTAAAGATTTGTGTATCTAGCTGTGGGCTACTGAAGCTCGTACTGAATTATGTAATAATAAAGTTACTATTACAGCTGTTACTGTTTTAAGCAGCTGTGTACGAACAAATGTAATTTCATTGCCTTGCATGAATAAAATGCTGATTTTGTTGTGTGATGCCACCTCTAACTACCTCTCTGACAAAGAAGTGAACACAACTGTAATTTATCGCAAGGGTCGTGGAAAGAACTGTGTCAGACATTTTAATAACGAGCTTATACCTGACCCTGAGTCTCTGACAGGTAAAACACTTTCTTGAGAGACAGTCGGTTTTGTTATCTTGTAATTAACGTTGCAAGTCTTATACTTTTTGCAATCTGCATTGCTCTGCTGAGACAGAGGAGGAAGTATTTCGCGATACTTTTAAGTTACAAATAGCTCTTGGAGAACGCTGGAAATAGCATTTCCGAACCTAGCTCTGATTTCAAAATTTTCTCGGGAGAAGGGGGGCATGCATGCCCCCAGACCCGGTTAACGGTTCGCGCCTTCGGCGCTAGATTCTGTGTCCCCCCAGTTTTTTCCCGTTGCTACGGCACTGCAAACGGTAGAAAAACGCTGATAAATGGTAGGGATAACGCTTATAAACCTTTGGAAAAATGCTTATAAACGGTTAGAAACGGTAGGAAAAACGTTTATCAATGTTTGGAAAAACTAATAAACGGTAGAAAAACGCTTACCAACGGTAGAAGAACGCTTATCAACAGTATAAAAACGCTTTACCTAGGAAGAAATGTTAAGAAACACGCTCAAAAGCAGTAATAATGAAACGCTTATAGAGATCCATAAACGGAAGAAAAAGGCCCATTTGCAGTAGAAAAACGCCTACACACGGGAGACAAAACTCTAGCGCTATATACAAACTGCTCTCCATGGGAAATCTAGCTGCAATCAGTGACATCAGGAAATTACCCCTTGTCCAGCCATTCTCCGCATTTCACCAATCATTTTGGCTAACTACTGGCGAATAGAAAGCAAAACAAGACAAAACAGCTCGACATATTATTAGCACACTGAAAAACAACATACACCATCAGCAACCGTATTTTCTACTCTGTCCAGCAAATGTCAAGACCAGCTGCAGTGGAGTTTTGACAAGAAGACAGTGACACACGGAGCCAAACCAATACCAAGCTGTCAAGAAATTTAACGAGGTGACTCTATCATGACGATGAAGAATACAGAATCACTCGGCAATTCCTCCCATGAAACCAGGTCACTGTTTTGTTGCCCGGAATCGCCACAATACATCTGGGACTTAATCACACAACTTCTTTTAAGATTATTGTTGTCATCACAACCATTGCTTGTCCGGTTACCATTGTGTTAAACCTCTTGGGGATAATAGCAGTAAAGACGAGAAGAGAGTTAAAANGTCATGTTGATTAATTCACCTTCACATTTCATTACCGCGCTTAAAATTCACCATCTTTATTAATTTATTACTAAAAATAGAAATGAATAGAAAGCAAAACAAGGCAAAACAGCTCGACATATTATTAGCACACTGAAAAACAACATACACCATCAGCAACCGTATTTTCCACTCTGTCCAGCAAATGTCAAGACCAGATGCAGTGGAGTTTTGACAAGAAGACGGTGACACACGGAGCCAAATCAGTACCAAGCTGTCAAGAAATTTAACGAGGTGACTCGATTATGACAACGAAGAATACAGAATCACTCGGCAATTCCTCCCACGAAACCAGGTCACTGCTTTATTGCCCGGAATCGCCACAATACATCTGGGACTTAAATCACACAACCTCTTTTAAGATTATTGTTGCCATCACAACCATTGCTTGTCCGGTTACCATTGTGTTAAACCTCTTGGTGATAATAGCAGTGAAGACGAGAAGAGAATTGAAAAAGAATTCAAACATCCTGCTGTCTAGCGTGGCTTTAGCTGATCTTTTGGTGGGTGCTGTATCCATGCCACTGTCTATCACGTTAGACACGTTAGTTAACGAGAGAGTTTTAGATGTGGATATTATTTGTGCGACAGATTCCACAAGTGCCTCTGTAATGTACACCATCTGCAGCGCGTAAGTTTTACATTTGCTCCTAATTGCTTGGGAGAGGTAGGTGGCGATAGCGAAATGTATGGAGTACAAAGGTATTGTTACAGAACGCCGCGCAAAGAAGTACACGAGAGTTGCTAGGCTATCGGCAGTAATAATGGTTGCTCCATTCGTCATAACGGCAGCTGTTAACCTTCTTTATGAAATTGTATTAGTGGAATATGTTATTTTGAGCATTTTCTGATTTGGCTGCTTATCACTCATAGCATATTTTTACGTTAAGGCTTATGTCGCAGTGCGAAAATGGAACAGAACGCGAATCCGCCCAGTAAATGTTCTGCTTAAAAGGAAGCTTGAAAGCAAGGTTGCTTACACGACTTTCTGCTTAACAGTTTTCGTTGGTGTCTCGGGTGTGCAGATCATCGCATATCTCTTTGAGGGAGCTTTTTCTTTTTTCCTCCAAATGTCTACTGTACGATGGGTAGAAACAATATTTCAGTTAAACCCTCTGTTCAACCCTGCGTTGTACTGGTATAGAAACCGCCGCTAAAGAGAAGCTTCATTGGAGCTGGTCCGGTGTAAAATAAGTGAATGTATAATTGAGGATAGGTCCGACTGCCGCTGTTACAGCCTGACCAGGCGATAACAGTCGGAAGCTGAATTTGCCTAACAACATGGCGATCATGCTGTATAACGTGCCACTGAAGGTGCTGAAAGATTCGGAGACAGTTTTCAACATGCTGTACGCCCAGTAGGTGAAGCACATCAAACTCACAAAGAAGACGAAGGCGAAACCAGAAATGTCCCCTCGAATTCTTTCTAGCGTAGAGAAAAATATTATTTAACTCTTGTTAAACTTAAAAAACTTTAAGAACTGGACTGTGGGAATGAGAACAATTAGACATGAAAAGTAAGCTATGTAGTCATCGTAGAAGGCCATCGTCAGAAAACCGTAAAAAGTATCTGGATTTTCTCGAATTGCTTCGATAGCGCTGTTAAGGTGGCTCTCATGAACAGCATATAAAGCTATGGTTGCCAGAGAGAACAGAATTAGTAAATATCAGTGAGGTTTCAGTGAGACGTAAAATAGCTCCAGCGATCTCGGTAGATAAGGCATCCCACTCTACAGATAAGGTGTCCCACGAAAATGACAAAAAATATGGCTATAGTGGGGTAAAATAACGATACAAACGGAGCAAATGCATGTCGACACGAGGAAAGCACCGCTAAAAGACGAAACTTCAATCGAAAATATCACTGCCGATAGAATGTTTACGTTAGCGTTGTTGATTGAAAACTCAAGAAAAACTACTCTTGTGAGGCCATCAATCCAGCCATGGGCTTTAAGCGAATTTGTGAGCTCCATCGTGCCTTGCCAATCAGTCTCTAGGTATGCTAGGTCCCTAGGTATGCTAAAATTCTCGTAAACTGTAGGAAGAATTTTGTGGACGTTAGAGCCGGAACCTGGGGACGAATTATTGACGAAGTTTTGCGAAAAGCAGGAAATATTACTTTACTTGCAAGCCAGTCCGAGGATGTCCGCACTAAATGACTCCTGCTTGTGCTCGGGAACCTGTTCTCTTGATTTGGCAGACTATATGGTTGCACACCGGGTTGCAGCTCTGCGTCTTGTGGGAATCAACATATGTACGAGTATTCTGGGCTCACTGGGTAACTTGTTGGTGTGCATAGCAGTGTTTTCAACTAAAGGCGTGACCTCAAGCTTCCATTACTTCATTTCAAGTTTGGCTGCTGCGGATCTTGTCATTGCTCTTGTGGTTCAGCCGCTTTTAATCGCCTTGATTATCGCTCAGATAAAAATCCAATGTCTCCCGGACGGCGCGTGTTTAGTCTTTCGCGTAGTTAGCAACTTTGCTGGTGCTGTCTCGTTACTAACATTGGCGTTGATTGGGCTTGATCGCACTTTGATCGTCTCCCCACATCTTGACTACAAGAATACAATGACAGCAAGAAAGAAAATCGTTCTGGCCGTTGTCTGGGCGTTAGCCTGTGCGTGTTCTGCCATAAGGCTAACCATCGAGAAAGAGATAACATCGTACCTAACCGCCGCTGTGTTTGGGTTGTGCTACGTGGAAATGATCGTGTGTTACGCAGTTGTTTATTATCGAATCTCCAAACGGCGTAAACGACCAGCTGCGATGCGTGCAAGAACTGAACTAAGGGGAACACGACATGAGGCGGCAGAAGTACAGCTTCTCAAGACTGAAAACATCGCTAAAGAGAGACGTTTTGCCCGCACTATCGTCATGGTACTAGTTGTTTTTACGGGTGGATGGAGTTATCTCTTTTATCTGCGATTGACGCAACCGGAAAAGAACTACGGAATCAGGTATGATGTGGCTCGTACTGTGGCGTTTTCTGCGTCTGCTATCAACCCCGCTCTTTACTGCTTCAATAATAAAGAATATCGACGTGCATTCAAGAGGATTTTGTCAAGTTTCCCTTTTGGATGGCGCCACGAGGAATATGAAAGAATCTTGTGATCAGCCAGTTTAAGGTATAATGAAATGCCATTCCGGAAGTGAAAGTGAAACTGTGGATGGAATAGAAATCAACGCAGATAAACAGATTTTGCCAGAATGAGATTGCGTGACGTTAAACAGCGAAAGAAACTCTTTTTTTGATCAAGGGTAGTTTTAAGCCAGAGACCCTCGATCATTGGACGTTTAAGTAGATTATTTTATTAATATCTAAGCACCGTAAAATATTCTTAGCCGATAGACCCGGAGTATTTGAAGTAATTTTAAAAGACATTTCTGTAGCAGCTTTAAAAGATTGCCTCGGGATAACATTCAACTACAGTACAACATGGCCGACGCTTTCGGCAAGGCAGCAACAGGCGAAGTATTCTCGCACTCCAAAGAGGTAGAGAACGAATTTATGTAATAAGCAGCTATAAGTCAGCTTTGCCAGAAAAAAACGATGTGAGGCGATTAGAGTTTGCAAGACATGCTTGGAAAGAAAAGTCTGCCATAGTCATTTACATAACAGTGTGGAATTTGAAAAGTATAACCTTAAATACACATGTCACAGATACGGGTCAGATTTGTTGTAATAACCTGCATAATTACAGTAAAGATTTGTGTATCTAGCTGTGGGCTACTGAAGCTCGTACTGAATTATGTAATAATAAAGTTACTATTACAGCTGTTACTGTTTTAAGCAGCTGTGTACGAACAAATGTAATTTCATTGCCTTGCATGAATAAAAGTGCTGATTTTGTTGTGTGATGCCACCTCTAACTACCTCTCTGACAAAGAAGTGAACACAACTGTAATTTATCGCAAGGGTCGTGGAAAGAACTGTGTCAGACATTTTAATAACGAGCTTATACCTGACCCTGAGTCTCTGACAGGTAAAACACTTTCTTGAGAGACAGTCGGTTTTGTTATCTTGTAATTAACGTTGCAAGTCTTATACTTTTTGCAATCTGCATTGCTCTGCTGAGACAGAGGAGGAAGTATTTCGCGATACTTTTAAGTTACAAATAGCTCTTGGAGAACGCTGGAAATAGCATTTCCGAACCTAGCTCTGATTTCAAAATTTTCTCGGGAGAAGGGGGGCATGCATGCCCCCAGACCCGGTTAACGGTTCGCGCCTTCGGCGCTAGATTCTGTGTCCCCCCAGTTTTTTCCCGTTGCTACGGCACTGCAAACGGTAGAAAAACGCTGATAAATGGTAGGGATAACGCTTATAAACCTTTGGAAAAATGCTTATAAACGGTTAGAAACGGTAGGAAAAACGTTTATCAATGTTTGGAAAAACTAATAAACGGTAGAAAAACGCTTACCAACGGTAGAAGAACGCTTATCAACAGTATAAAAACGCTTTACCTAGGAAGAAATGTTAAGAAACACGCTCAAAAGCAGTAATAATGAAACGCTTATAGAGATCCATAAACGGAAGAAAAAGGCCCATTTGCAGTAGAAAAACGCCTACACACGGGAGACAAAACTCTAGCGCTATATACAAACTGCTCTCCATGGGAAATCTAGCTGCAATCAGTGACATCAGGAAATTACCCCTTGTCCAGCCATTCTCCGCATTTCACCAATCATTTTGGCTAACTACTGGCGAATAGAAAGCAAAACAAGACAAAACAGCTCGACATATTATTAGCACACTGAAAAACAACATACACCATCAGCAACCGTATTTTCTACTCTGTCCAGCAAATGTCAAGACCAGCTGCAGTGGAGTTTTGACAAGAAGACAGTGACACACGGAGCCAAACCAATACCAAGCTGTCAAGAAATTTAACGAGGTGACTCTATCATGACGATGAAGAATACAGAATCACTCGGCAATTCCTCCCATGAAACCAGGTCACTGTTTTGTTGCCCGGAATCGCCACAATACATCTGGGACTTAATCACACAACTTCTTTTAAGATTATTGTTGTCATCACAACCATTGCTTGTCCGGTTACCATTGTGTTAAACCTCTTGGGGATAATAGCAGTAAAGACGAGAAGAGAGTTAAAAAAGAATTCAAACATCCTGCTGTCTAGCGTGGCTTTAGCTGATCTTTTGGTGGGTGCTGTATCCATGCCACTGTCTATCACGTTAGACACGTTAGTTAACGAGAGAGTTTTAGATGTGGATATTATTTGTGCGATAGATTCCACAAGTGCCTATGTAATGTACACCATCTGCAGCACGTAAGTTTTACATTTGCTCCTAATTGCTTGGGAGAGGTAGGTGGCGATAGCGAAATGTATGGAGTACAAAGGTATTGTTACAGAACGCCGCGCAAAGAAGTACACGAGAGTTGCTAGGCTATCGGCAGTAATAATGGTTGCTCCATTCGTCATAACGGCAGCTGTTAACCTTCTTTATGAAATTGTATTAGTGGAATATGTTATTTTGAGCATTTTCTGATTTGGCTGCTTATCACTCATAGCATATTTTTACGTTAAGGCTTATGTCGCAGTGCGAAAATGGAACAGAACGCGAATCCGCCCAGTAAATGTTCTGCTTAAAAGGAAGCTTGAAAGCAAGGTTGCTTACACGACTTTCTGCTTAACAGTTTTCGTTGGTGTCTCGGGTATGCCGATCATCGTATATCTCTTTGAGGGAGCTTTTTCTTTTTTCCTCCAAATGTCTACTGTACGATGGGCAGAAACAATACTTCAGTTAAACTCTCTGTTCAACCCTGTATTGTACTGGTATAGAAACCGCCGCTTAAGAGAAGCTTCATTGCGGGAGCTGGTTCGGTGCAGAAAACGGCCAGCAACTCGCACTGTGCGTTACATCAGGCAACGTCGCTATTCTGTGGCATTGCTAGATGTTGAAAAGCTTCAAAACGAGCAAAGAGACGCCCGATTATTAAGGTCAGAATCCCTCGGTGTTATGATGTGTTCAAGCACCTTTTGGCAGAGGCGGAATGAGGCAGTGAAGGAAAGACCCATGTCAGCTCCATCGAGGGTAGCAAACGATCAAATATTCACACAAAAGCGCAATCAACTAATCGTAACAGTTCAGACTGAAAATGCCCCAAGAGGGAAAGACATTCAGCGAAAAACTCAATTACCTAAAAACACCAGTGAGCTTGGAAGATCTCGGCGTCATATCGATAGTAAAATTGCGCGATCAAGTTCACTGAACGAAAACTCTTTCATGTCGCTAACTAAATGTCATCATAATACGACACAGAAGAAAGTCCAAAGATCCAGATCAGTGCCAATAATATTAGCATACTTAAACCAACCGGAGGACAGAACAACTGTTGATGAGTTGACCAATGAGAATGGACCTCCGTATGATCGTTACCAGGAAACTAAACTATAACGGGTTAATTTAAATTAGTACATGTTTCAAATTCTTTAGAAAGAATAAACAACAAGCAAACTTGATCACTAAAAGTAATAATGTGAGTGCTTTGACCTGCTTTTGTAGACCTCCGTGTAGAGGAATGGGTTCGGTAAACCGAAACAAACGACTGAATTTGACTAACAATAGACGGATCGAAACTTACTAGAAAAGACCAGTGACTGTTGACAAACTTTACACGAGTACTTCTGATACGCAGGCTAGCTGCCTCCCTCCTCCGCCCCCCCCCCCCCCCNGGAGCGTGGAATTCTCAAGGGAAGTTGAACTGGATTTATAGTAATACCAAATGTACATCGGCACTTTTGAAAATATCGGTTATTTTATATTTGCTTTTCCCCATTACAGTCGCATATGCAGTGGGCAAATTAAAAACCTCTGTAAAAACATCTAAAAGCCTTGTTCCCTACGAGTTATTTCATAAAGAAGCCCTCTCGACTGAGGCATGCTAAGCAAATTTGCCACCAATTCTAATTCTTCCGCAAAATCTTCTAAATAAGCATCGTTAGCAAAGTTCAGCAAGCGTGGAAACTGACTCCGTGTAAAATAATTGGTGCACAGCTTCCACTGAAAGTACGTAAAGTGTTTCTCCTGTGCTGGAGGCTCGATTCGTGGCAGTGGTGGTATGTAGTGCGGTAGTAGACCACAAGTGCCTTTGAAGGAGGTAATGATAAACTTGATTATCTCGTACTCGCTCTGTTGGAAGCGGTCGTCTTCCCGTGATTCCTTGAATCCTATGGTGATGATTGTTAGAATAATGTTTAGTATGAAGAACACGTTAGCACAAGTGAAGGTGTAAGTGAAGATAGGTCCGACTGCCGCTGCTACAGCCTGACCAGGCGATAACAGCCGGAAGCTGAATTTGCCCAACAACATGGCGATCATGCTGTAAAACGTGCCACTGAAGGTGCTGAAAGATTCGGCGACGGTTTTCAACATGCTGTACGCCCAATACGTAAAGCACATCAAACTCACAAAGAAGACGAAAGCGAAACCAGAAATGTCCCCTCGAATTCTCTCAAGCGTAGAGTAAAATATCATAAAACTCTTGTTAAACTTAAGAAACTTTAAGAACTGGACTGTAGGAATGAGAACAATAAGACATGAAAAGTAAGCTATGTAGTCATCGTAGAAGGCCACTGTCAGAAAACCGTAAAAAGTATCTGGATTTTCTCGAATTGCTTCGATAGCGCTGTTAAGGTGGCTCTCACGAACAGCATATAAAGCTATGGTTATCAGCGAGAACAGAATTAAGAAAATATCAGTGACGTTCCAGTAAGACGTAAAATAGCTCCAGCGATCTCGGTAGATAAGGCAACCTACTCTATAGATAAGGTGCGCCACGAAAACGACAAAAAAAATCTCAGNTGTAGTCATCGTAGAAGGCCACTGTCAGAAAACCGTAAAAAGTATCTGGATTTTCTCGAATTGCTTCGATCGCGCTGCTAAGGTGGCTCTCACGAACAGCGTACAAAGCTATGGTTACCAGAGAGAACAGAATTAGGAAAATATCAGTGAGGTTCCAGTAAGACGTAAAATAGCTCCAGCGATCTCGGTAGATAAGGCATCCCACTCTATAGATTAGATGTGCCACGAAAATGACAAAAAATATCTCAGCTACAAGATACAAGAACTGCAGTGGGGTAAAATAACGATACAGACGGAACAAATGCATATCGACACGAGGAAAGGCACCGCCGAAAGACGAAAATTCAATCGAAAATATCACCGCCGATAGGATGTTGACGTTAGCGTTGTAGATTGAAAACTCAAGAAAAACCACTCTTGTGAGGCCATCAATCCAGCCATGGGCTTTAAGCGAATTT